GCGAAGGTCGGTAAGCGAACCGCTTACCGACCTTCGCTCTGCGATTTTCGCCCATTGGGGCCATCGCTCTGCGATCGCATTAGCAATCGAAAAAGCGTCACCGTAGAGCGAATTCATCGCTCTATGGTGCACTCGTTCTGCGAGGCACCACTGTAATTAATTTTGTGTGCAGGTACATGGTTTTTAAAAAGATGAAGTCACCCAAACACCACTTAACTGATAGCTGTATTTTCTGTATCACTATCTTGATCTCACCTCCATTCACTCCCTTAATCTCATTTCTATCCCCAAAGGTTTTTCCTCCATACTTTAGTTAAAACAAATTTTGGACAGTAAAGGTCAGTCAGGGTCAATTTAGACCACTAACTTACATCACTTTAACTTTCAGAATATTTTAAATTAAAAAGAAAGGGTCAATCTCCTTCTTTCCCAAGTTGTATATTACATTATCTTTTCTGATTAATGAGTTGGCTTTCTGTCTTGTCCACATAATTAAAAAGATATATGATGTGAAAGACCTCTGGGGATTTCTCTTGCTAATGATTATTATAGGAATTTACTAAAGTCTTAGTAGTTCAAAATGCAATCATGACAGTTCAGGCTTGCCAAGCTGTTAATCTACTTTAGTCTGCTTGACTGAGCTGTCTACTCCATTGTTTTTCCATTTAAATGCCAAGTGAACAAATGTTTAGTTATCGTTCTCTCAGTTCAAATTATTTTAATATTTAGACTTGTCTATATATTTAAAAACTCTTACAAATCACAGTGATTTTGCCATGTATCTCTAGCAGTAACATATTTATTTAGTTATACACATGATGTTGGTTGAACAATTTTTCATGTGAAGACAGAATTTGGAAGCTGAAAAATAATGTCATATCTGGAAACTGCTAGCCACATTTTTAATTATTAGGAAAACACATATGATACCTTTGCTTTGCTTTTAAATACTCTCAGCAGTTATCCTAATTTAAGGTCTTGTGTACTTTTCTTGTTAATTCTGGTTATATTTGGTAATTAAAAGTCCTGTTAGCAAATAAAAGCAAAGGCCAGTTATATGCCATCATGGTATGCATCAGCTTTGTAAGAAGCACCTAAATGCAGTTATTCGAATGATGAATGCGACACTCGTGAACCAGCTTTTCTGAAGATATACAGACACACAAATCCTGTTCTTGCGTTTTAAATCTTGACTAAATTACCGTATTTTTCGCTCCATAAGACGCACCTTTCCATAAGACGCACCAATTTTTTAGGAGAAGAAAACAGGAACATATAATCTGTTTTCTGGGGGAAAAGTGCTTTTTATGGTGCGAAAAATACGGTAAATTTCCACCCCCGTTTTGTGGGGGAAAAGTGCAAACGGTAAATGTGTGAGAGGAGTAGTAGGAATGTAATAACCTACTCTTCTCTGCTGTAACTTCCATCACTCACTACATATAGAGGGCAATGTCCATGGACAGTCAAGTCTCCTTTCTATATGGGCAGACCTCCATACAATCAAAAACACTGATTTTCCATTATGTCCAATTTTGTGAAGAGTCACCAAATAAAATTGAAGCTCTCCTTTTCAGAAGGTTGCCCTTCCTCTTTTGAAAGGTAATGAAAACAACAGTGGAGGAAGGTGGTGCTAGTTCTGTCTCCCTCCTTGCACATCTATATGATTTGGGTTTCACACTATCTGAATGGGAGCTATGGGCATTTCAAGAACTGCAGCAGCTAAGAAAAATGATCTTGCAATTATGAAAATCACTGGATACTGCAGTTTTATCTGTGAATGGGTTGGTTTAGTCACGATCTTCTTCATACAACTGTTGGTACAGCCATGACTACAGGTGGGTCCAGATCACCAC